TCCTTCAGCCGGGGCTCCCTCAGCCGCGGCTCCTTCAGGGTCTTCTTCAGCCGGGGCTCCCTCAGGGCTCCCTCAGCCGCGGCTCCCTCAGCGCCTCCCTCAGCCGCGGCTCCCTCAGGGTCTTCTTCAGCCGCGGCTCCCTCAGGGCTCCCTCAGCCGCGGATCCCGGGGGACGCTGCTGGGACACCCGGCCCCTTGGTCACCGGGACTCGCCGCTACTCTCTAACAGCATTCAGGCAGTTTCCAGGCACGGCTGGTGTAATGAGTTTATTTCAGTACTAATGACGCAATCCCAGCTCAACGCATGCTCGGGGAAGGCTCTGTTTGACCCCAAGGTGTTATTTTTATTAGCGTAATAATCACTGTTCGGTTGAAAAGTGCACAGGCCGTGAGTATTTTGCCAAATGCATGCGGCAGCACCATGATTTACTTCATCATTAAATCTAATTCTTTTGGAGATGCACTTGCTCCACTCTTCGGGTCTCCCTTTTCATGGATTAGGATTGAAAGTACACAAAGATTTTTCCACCACAGATCGCCCTGATTTAAAGTAATCTTGGAATATATGGACATATTCCACATTTTACACTGCCCTCAGCGCATTACAGCCCTGGGTGCGAGGAGATCGAACCCTTCAATAAAATAGAAATAGGACAGCAAAAAAAAATAATAAACCCAAAACAAAACAGAAAAGACTTAAAGATCTAAAAGAAGACACAGAATTGTAATCATCAGCTTTTATTAGGTTAAGCATTGGTAGAAGAATGCTGCACATAAGCATTGCTGGAAGGAAATAAAGATGTAAATACAGCTGTAATTAAGACATTAATTAATTAACACCTTGCCCAGGTGTGTTTTGGTGGGTGCAGGGAGACAGGGAATGGGGGTTATGTTTCTGTCTGCCAAAGCTCAGGTTTATCTTCTTGGTTATCCAGTTTTTTGGGGATAAAGGAAATATTCTTCATCAGGAGCAGCGCACAGAATTCCCTCCGAGGCAGCACCTGCACTGTGCAGTCTGAGCCTCGTTAAATCCTCACAGTAACTACTGAGAGCAGAAAAGCATTCAAGATTTACAGTAAAATGTCCTTTTTTGGGCACAGAATTCCAGTCTCCATGTAAGCAGCGTTTCCTCAGAGCCCGGTGCCTGGTTAGCAGCAGCACGGATGCCCAGCCTAGGGGAGATGGTATCCTGCTGTTGAAATTAGAGCTTTCCTGTTTTTCTACTGATTTCTAGAGATTCCATCGCCACCCGCAGAGGGAGGAGGGAATTTCTGGGAAATGCTTTGTTTCAAAGAAATCACCCAGCTGATATTGTTTGCGTGTCCCACTTTGTAGGTTGAAGTGCTGCTAACAGTGAAAATTCACTGTTGGCTGCAATAGACCCAGAAAGCAGATTCACTTGTAAGTAAAAATACCATTGTAGCAAGTGTGAAAGCAATAAAAACCCCCAGAAACCAAGTTCAGCGTCCTTTTCTGAGTCTGCTGCAGCTGTGAGACAGTTTTCCAGTTTTTTCATAATCTGTACAAGTTAAAAGCAGCTTTAAATCAGAAGCAAGGACTGGTCTGGAATGTCTGACACCCAGATTGTGGATGAAGGAAAGACACGCTTTGAGGGCAGTGTCAGAAAGAAAAATAGGATGCTTTAAAAGCCCAATACATTTAAAACATCTTCTATTCAGGAAAAGAAAATATGCTATCAGAAGATGAGAGGGAAAGAGGTTTTTATTTGAATTATTGCATTAGGAAAGTATTTATTCAAGGAGACAATGCAGTCAGCAGCATAAACAAGTGACAGTATCGTTATTGCAGCTCCAGCAGGTGTTTTGTGCCGAGGAGTGTAAATCCTTACCTCCTATGGCAGACACAAGTCTTTGTGCTCAGTTGCTGAGTTCAGGGGGGTTCTGTAATTGTAGTTCTCATAGGTACGATAATAGCTACATGGAAAAGAAGGAAACAATGAATTGCCTCGTAAAAGAACACTGGGTTTGGTTTCCTTTAAGAAAGAGAGGCCTGAAATAAAATGACACAACCACTCCATGGATTCCAGGCTGTATCACTCACAAGCCTGAGCTGAGGGTACAAAATGACAAGGCCTGGACACACTGAGGTAAATATTTGGAGTGTATCAAGTGTATAAAGCTAGGGACTTGGCACCAAGGGGCAGGAATAAACATCCAGAGCTGCCTTACCCTTCCTTCTGCTTGGAGATTATTTTCCAGACAACGCCTGCCCCCAGGAGCAGCAGAACTGCTGCGGCCGCCGCTCCTGAGGGAGAAGAACCCGGGTTATTCTCACCGTGTGTTGTAAAGTACACGAAATGCACTACAGGGTGTATCTGCCAAGTAAGCAGAGGGAGGATGTGCCACTGAGGCCACTGAGCTGGGGACAAAAATGTTCATAAGATGCTTACCTAGGCCCACAGACCTGGAGTGGGAGGATGCTGGAGGGAAGGGAAAAAATGAAAATCAGCAAACTCTTCTACCAAAATACAACATTTCTCATCTGTCCTTAATCAATACCAATAAACCTTTTAGAATCATAGGATGGTTTGGGTTGAAGGAATCTCTGAAAGTTCATCTGGTTCCACCCCCCTGCCATGAGCAGGACACTTTCCACTATCCCAGGTTGCTCCAAGCCCCGTCCAGCCTGGCCTTGGACACTTCCAGGTGTTCAGGGGCAGGACAGCTCCCCCATGCCAGTGTCTGCTAAGACCTACAACAGCAGATTCCTTAAAACCACACCTTCTCCTTTGGTATATTTCCTGGTGTATTTCCTTTTTTAAAAAATACAGACATTTGCATGTTTAAAATAAATTTGCATGTCTCTGATCTTTACTTCCTTTACCCTTACTCATTTTACAGGCTGGCACGGGAGGGTCCCAGCTGAAATCCTCTTGGCACTGGGTGTGGCTGATTCCTTCCAGCACGTAACCTTCATCACATTCCAGAGTGATGTTAGTCCCAGAGCGATAAGTATTTCCTTTAATGGCTTTTTTAACACCTTGGACATCCGGGAATTCACATCTGATCTCTGAAATCGCAAGCAGTACAAAGAGGACATTTAGAGGGAACACAAAATACGAGAAACGCAGCTGTGGGTTGTTTAGGACTTGAAGTGTAAGCAGGGATTAATTCTCATTCTGCAAGGTAATTCCTTTATTCGTGGCTGCAGAAGTGGGAAGTGCCTCAGTCCCAGGCGGAATTCTGAGCAGCCAGGGAAGCTCAGACTCACCTTGGCACTGCGGGAGAGGCTGGCTCCAGGCTCCCGACACGGTGCAGGTGATGGAAGCATTCCCAAGCAGTGAGTAACCAGGATTGCAGCTGTAGGATACAGAGGCTCCGGAGGGAAAGGTGGCAGAGGTGTTGCCTTTGAGCCTCCCATTGGTGATGTTTGGAGGCTGCAGACACTTCCCGGCTGGAAAATCAGGGAGAGACAGACAGGATGCTGAAGGGTGGCCAGGGAGTGACCGAGGCTCTGTCCCTCTGCAGCCTCCCCTGTTCCCTGCGAATTCCTTCCTGGAATTCCCTGGACTCAGCAGCCCGGACCCCTGGAACTCCAGCAGGCTTCGGAAAGGCTGAAAACCCCAGCTTGTTCTTATCACACATTCTGTACTCAGATCCAGACCTTCTACAAACCTTCCCCCAGGGCAAAACTTGTTAAATGTCCTTTGTTCTCCACTCTCTGCACATACCTTGACAGACGGGAGGGGGATGGCTCCAGGCTCCAGATGCTGTGCAATAAATGGATGCTGTCCCCAGCAGAGAGAAGCCAGGCTCACAGGTGTAGTTTACAGATGTTCCCGGAGTAAAAACTGCTTTTGCTGGGCCATGGAAAGACCCGTGGGTGATATCTGCAGGCTTGGAGCAGTGCAGCACTGAAAACAGAGACGTGCAGATCAAAACAGAGCTCAGAGAGCCAAGAAGGAAAACTTCTGAGCAGCTGGGGAAGGCTGAACGCTCCCTCCCACAGCACTGACCCCAACAGCCCTGCACAAACCTCTGCAAAGTTGCCTCAAAAAACCAGGACAGGTTGGGAAGAGGAGTTAGTGATTAATGAATCAAATCTTCAGGTAAAAGACCTACCTGGCTTTGTTGTGGTAGCAGGCTGGTGGTAAGGTGCTGCTGCTCCATCTAAATGCAGCATTAAGAGTTTAAAAACAAGAGTTTAGAAGCAAATAAAATGCACAAAATTACCTTCATTCCCCAGTAATTCCTCAGTGTTACATTTCCAGGAAAAAAATCACTGCTCTCTGATAGTCAGTGTCCTGCAGCTACCAAATTCCTCTCTTCCAGGGAATGGGGAGATTGTAGATTATGGATTGCAGCAAGCAGAGTGAGAAAGCACAAATCATGCCAATACTTACAGCATTACCCAAGCCCTGGCTGATCTCCTGTGTGTGAAGAGAGGCACAAAATGAAAGGAAAAAATTCTGTGTTCTCCTTAAAGCAGTTGGAGCTAACAGGAGAAATAAAACCACCTTTGGTTTCGGTGAGTGGGCAGAAGTCAGGAGCAATGTGCAATAATCCCCGAGAGCTGATTCTTACCCCGCTCACAGACAGGTACAGGTGGGTGCCACCTCCTGTCACCCTGGCACTGGGACGTGGGATGGCCTCGCAGGGTGAAGCCTTGGTGGCACTTGAAGGTGACAGAGTCCCTGTAGATGTAGTGGGGCTTGGGGACAGCCACCCTCCCATCCTGGATCTGTGGGGCTGGGCACACCACCCCTGAGAGAGAAATCCAGATTTAGGGTTACATATTTAGGGTCAAGAAATCCATATTTAGGGTTAAGAAATCCGTATTTAGGGATCCATATTTAGGGTTAAGAAATCCATATTTAGGGTTACATATTTAGGGTCAAGAAATCCATATTTAGGGTTCCATATTTGGGGTTAAGAAATCCATATTTAGGGTTCCATATTTGGGGTTAAGAAATCCATATTTAGGGTTAAGAAATCCATATTTAGGGCTACATATTTGGGGTTAAGAAATCCATATTTAGGGCTACAAAACCGTGTGTAATGAGCACATCCTGAAGTCTCAGTGTGCTCAGAAGAGTTTCACACGTAGGACTCAGAGACTCAGATAAGATAAATTCAAGAAGTGAGAGGTTTTAGTTCTTTTAGGTACCTTAAGGGTACCACAGCATCATATATATAAACATAGTTTTGTGGCTGTAAACAGAATAGTGTGAATATATTCTAATAAATACATGAAATGGGGTAGAAATCTGTCAGTGCTTTACTATCCCGACCTCATTGCCTCCCAAAGCAATTCCATCTGGAGAAAAGACTAATTGCAATAATCAACCCTTGCAAAACATCTTTGTGCTTTGGGTAACAATACAGGATTTGGAAAATTCCATTTCAATCGTACTCAAAATACCACTCTTCTACTACAAAACATTTTTTTACTTGATTTCTTATTTATGGTTGTGAAACAAAAGGGGACAAGTCCCCGCAGGCATCTCACAACTCTTCAGTCTGCACTGCTGTGACAGATCAAAAGCTTACATCTGGAAGATTTTTAGAAGAAACCAAACATGCAAGCATAAAAAAAACACCCTATCTCAGAGGAATATTATGCTTTAATAGTCTTATTCCTTTAATTCTGTTTATTTAAAGGAAATGCTCTTTAATTTTAAGGACTTTATATGGCAATTCTGGCCCTGATCTAGTGGTGACCTACTTACTCTGACAGGTGGGAGGCAGACCGGTCCAGACAACATCTCTTCCCAAAATCTCACATCTCCTGTGGGACTGTCCAACCAGTCTGTACCTGGAGGTACAGAGAGACAAATATCAGCTCATACCAAATCCTTCACCTTGGATTGTGCCCGCCCCTGATGTTTCCTTCTGATTTCCTTCTGATTCCAGCTGATCGCCAAGGTCTCTCTGCTGGTTTGACACGAGGGAATGAAGGACACCAAATTCCTTCTTCTCAGATCCAAGAGGAGCAACACTGGCCCCAAAAACTCTGGGTTAGATTGGTCAGGTGATAAATCAGGACCCAACTGATTTCCAAAGGGCTGGAGCCTCCTTGTGTCATGGGCTTGCTCCCACTCTCAGCTCCTGCTCGAGGCCATCTGAGAAGGGAAACTGAAACTGGTTTGCAAATTAATCCATTGAGCACAGGAGGGGAAAATGAGACAATTCTCTCTTTCTGGAGAAGGCAACTATGGTGAAATTGGAACCAAAATTGCAGTTCAGACCTGCTGTGGGAGAAGAGCTGTGCAGAGGAGTGGGCTCTGATCCTTTACCCAACTCAGAGTCAGCAAAGGCAGCGTGGGACTCACCCTTGGTCACACGTGTGGCTCACGGTTGACCCGAAAAGGAGATCTGTCAGAACAACAACTCTGCCGTGCCTGGGGGACTCTGGGTGTTTACACTGCTTCCCTGGGAAAGAACAAGGCTGAGTTTAAACTCTTCTCTCGAGCTGTGTAGCACACTAGGAGGTTTCTTAAGGCTCTGTCCGAGTGCTGCCACCAATAAAGAAGTGATTTTGAAAAGGCCCAAAGTGGCCCAGACCTTGTGACTAGTAAAGCCATGTATCAACCTTTCCTCCAAGATTCCTCTAAAAACCCACAAACCAGACAATTTCCAACAACCAACACCAAATGGATGGAGCTATTCACTTTTGCAGAATTCTAGGGCTTCAGACCACGTGCGGTTTTGGAGGCAAGTCAGAGTTTGGGGCACTCCGGGGCGTCTGGAGTGTCCCGGCCGGCAGCTGTAGCGCACGGTGTCCCCAACAGCAAATTCCAGCTGATTTCTGTATTCCCTGGTTAGCTCAGCAAAGGTGAGGTTTGGAGGTGCACCACAGCCACCTGTCAGGGGGGAAAACAGGGAGAAACGGGGATGTCAGCTACAGAAGTTGTTTTAAAATGTATTTTGAGTATGTCGAGCTTAAAATCGTTGTGCAATGTGGGTAAAAAGAGAGGAGGGTAAAGGATTCAGAATTTTGGGAAGAGTGAGGATGAGTCCTACAGGTAGAAAGTTCCAGGCTATCCACAACTCCAAGCTTAGAACCACAGTGTACCTGCACACTGAGGGAGAGGGAGGCTCCAGTTGCCAGAGTCGGTGCAGTAGATGGATGCCTCTCCCTGGAGGCTGTAGCCAGGGTCACAGCTGTAGTTCACAACCATCCCAGAGGGAAAAACCTCCACGTCCTGGCTGTTGTGCTTTCCTTTGTCAATATTTGGAGGTGAAGGGCATTGCAGCACTGAAGAGAGAGGACAAAAGGAAACTGAGAAAAAGGCAGGGCCATGATGCTGGGCCAGGATGGGGAAGATGGGCTTGTCCAGCCTGAGGAAAAGGCTCCAGGGAGAACTCAGAGCCTCTTCCAGTGCCTGAAGGGCCTCCAAGAGAGCTGGAGAGGGGTTTGGGACAAGGGATGGAATGACAGGGATGGCTTCCCACTGCCAGAGGGCAGGGCTGGATGGGATATTGGGAAGGAATTCCTCCCTCTCGGGTGGGGAAGCCCTGGCAAAGGTGCCCAGAGCAGCTGTGGCTGCCCCTGGATCCCTGGCAGTGCCCAAAGGCAGGCTGGACAGGGCTGGGAGCAGCCTGGGACACTGGGGGGTGTCCCTGCCATGGCAGAGGGTGGGATGAGCTGATTTTAAGCTTCTTAAACTCAGTGCCATTGGAAAAGAATCACTATTTTCAGGAGTCTGCCCAAACCTTCCAAAGGAGGGAGTGGTAAAGGAGAAATTACAAGGCTTCAAGCACACAACAACTTAAACAAATTAGAAGCAGCTCCAAAACTTACTTTTGCAAAACTCCTTGGCTTCAGACCATGTTAGGTTTTCAAGACATGTGATGGTTGGTGATATCTGTGGCTGTTCCACATATCCAGGCCGACAGGTGTAGTTCACAGTCATCCCAACGGGAAACGCAGTCTGATTTTCATACTCCTCACTTAGCTCAGCAAATAGCAGCGGTGGTGGTGTGCCACAATCGGCTGCTAAAAAACAAAATGGGCATGAGAAATATGTCTTTAGCTAAAGAGAAACAGGTGCATGATAAGCACTGTTAAACACCAAGTTATTAAAGCATCTTCTGTGTAGTCTGACATTTGTCTGAATGAAATAACACTCAGCATGGCACCTAATTTATGTGGTCTTAGAAAAAATGGGATAAAACAATGCCCAAAAAATAGTTTGGACAGTGTGGTGCCTTCACACGACTCTGGGCTGTAGAGTGCAGAAATCTTTAATTTTAGCATTAAAACACCCAAACCTGTCTCCTTTTGGGAAACTTGAGCAGTGCCACCAGCTTGCTCCCAGCGCCACCAGAGCGCAGCTCCTGCGTGTGGCTCTCCCTACACCGGGCAATCCTGCAGCTTGGCAGGTTTGCCTGATCCAGGGTGAGCCTGGCACGGGATGGATGCTGAGCCTGGCACGGGATGGATGCTGAGCCTGGCACGGGATGGATTCTGAGCCTGGCACGGGATGGATTCTGAGCCTGGCATGGGATGGATGCTGAGCCTGGCACGGGATGGATTTTGAGCCTGGCATGGGATGGATTTTGAGCCTGGCACGGGATGGATGCTGAGGCTGGCACGGGATGGATGCTGAGCCTGGCTCGGGATGGATGCTGAGCCAGCCCCAGCTGCACAGTGTGGGTAGGGAAGGCTCCAGTTGCCCCAGGCCATGCACAGGACCGAGGGGTCCCTGAGCAGGGAGGAGCTGGCAGCTGTGGCTGACAGAGCTGCTGCTGGTGAGGCTCACACCCAGCTCAGGGCGGCGTGGGCGATGGCAGGGGACAAAGGGCAGAGCAGCGCTGCCAGGGCAGCAGCAGAGAGCAGAGAGCAGAGGTTTAGGGGTTTACCCAGAGCTGGAGCACTGGTACCACACAAAGCCCGTCCCAGCTGGCTCACCTGGCTGGCAGGTGGGGACAGCAGGCACCCAGCGGCTGTCGGGCTGGCACTTGGCCGCACGGCTGCCCCTCAGCATGAAGCCTGGCTGGCACTGGAAGGTGACATTGTCCCCAGGGTGGTACACAGCCCTCCTGCCCTCGGCCACCTCTCCGTTCTTGATGCTGGGGCTGCTGCAGGTGATCACTGGGGAGGAAAAGCAGCAGAGCTGGGGCTGGGGGAGCAGCCAGAGCTGAGGTTTCCCCTTTGTGTGCGAGGTCACAGTTCAGTTCAGGGGTGCTCACCCTTCCCGCTGTGGGTACCAGCGTTTCCAGCTCACCTTCACAGCGGGGGTAAGGGATGCTCCAGACTCCTGAGGGCAAACAGGACACGGTGGTTTTCCCAGTGAGGGCGTACCCCGGCTCACAGTTGTACTTCACTGACGTGCCAGGGATGAATTCTGTCACACCCTTGCTGTCGTGCTGGCCGTTTCTGATAATTGGAGGGGGAGGACACGGCGGCACTGCAAGGAGGAGGAACAGTCCCAGCTAGCCAAGAGCTGGTTCACAGAGGCTCAGAAATCAGCCACCACCCTCATTTGCACTTACGCTTCTCACAGGTGGGGACAGGAGGGTGCCACTTGCCCCCAAACTGGCACTGAGACTCTTGAGAGCCCTTCAAGGCATAACCAAAGTTGCATTCGAAGAAAATGATGTCCTTCAGCTTGTAGGTGGTCTCCAAGCCAGTCGCTTTTCCGTTCTCAATCTCCGGCTTGGTGCAGCCGGTTGCTGGAAGGGAAGAGCACGAGGAGATGAAGATCTGGGGATGTGAAACCCCTCCTGGCTGTGGAGGGACAGCACCTGCTGCTGGGCCTGGCCATCACTGTCACGGGCATTTCAACATTACTGACTCTTGTTCTTACACAAAATATCGTTATTCAGCTGTTCCTGAGCGTTTGTGCTCAGCAGGAACAGAAAGGGAAACCCACAGAGGCACAAGGGGCTGCTCCTGCCCATGGCACCGCTGGTCCCTGCCTCTCCCTGGGGATTGGGTTGCAGTGATTAAACCAAGAGCCAAGAAGGAGCCCAGGGACAGGCAGAAATCCCACAAACACACAGAAATCCCACAAACACACCTTGGCAGCGGGGCTGGGGCCGGCTCCAAGTTCCCCTGGCGGTGCAGCGGATGGAAGCGTTCCCGAGCAGGGAATAACCCTCGGCGCAGGTGTACAGCACCTCGGAGCCCGGGCCGTGCCTGGCCCCAGGGCTGCCACTGTGCTGCCCATTGGCAATGCTGGGGGGGGCAGGACACCTCACCTCTGCCAGGGACAACAAAAGGAGCGTGAGAAATAGGGACAGGGCAGGAAAACCTCCAAAAAGCCAACCTTCTGAAAGCAAAGGAGGGAGACAACACAAGTGCAATCAGTCAGGACAAGGTGATATGTAACTTTTCCAGAAGCTCTCCTTAGCTCTTTTCTCCATCAGGGGACAACATCCTGGTTTTTAGAACAGTTTCAGAAGTAATAAATCAAATTAAGTTGTAATGAAAACTGAAGCAATAACAGTACTTCCCCACCAGCATCAAAAAGAAAACGCTGTTATACCAAAGCGCTACTCAAATAAACATTTTATGCGTAGAAAAACGATTTGAAAAATTGCAAATGCTCTGAGTCGTTCTGAACACTGACATGAAGTGCTGTGAAGAAATAAAATCACTTGTGTCCCCACGGGCAGGGGGACAGGCAGAGCTGGCTGTGGGCACACCCCGAGCCGTACCTTGGCACCGTGGCACTGCCCCGCTCCACGAGCCGCGCTGCCCATCCGCAGAGCTGCAGGACAGGGAGGCGTCTCCAGCCGGGGCCAGCCCCGAGCTGCAGGTGTAGGTGACCACGTCCCCGAAGGAGAAGCTGTCCCTGGAGCCCCCGCTGTGTGTCCCGTGCGGGATGGCCGGGGGGGGAGCGCAGGTGATGCCTGTGGGCAGCACAAGGGCACGGTCACAAGGGGAATGTGGGCACACCCTCTGCCCAGGAAGGGCGCTGATGGAGAGGAAACCACCTCAGCAGTGACACAATGACCCCAGTGCTCCAGGAACAAACTTTGCATGGAAAGAAAACACGTGGGAATTAAAATCTGTCCCCTCCTGTGAGTCACTTCCTTGCTGGCCGTGTCTGGAGGTGCTGGGACAATTCTTACCTCATTTTCCATAACTATCAGTGACACAGCGAGAGGAATATTCCAGGATTCCAGTGAGGAATACTTACCCACCAACAGGGAGTTTAAAATATTAATGTTTCCTCCCAGTTTGGACCAGAAGGAATAAAAGACCTTTGAAACCATTTTCAGAAGCAGATCCAAAACAAAATGGAAAGAAAAAGGAAATATTTTACACATTCAATGACTTGAGAAATCTTTTGCAACAAAACTTTTGGCTTGAAAGAAGTCTTACTTTATCTTGTAAACCATCTCCAAGGGCCTGCTGTGGTGGCCTACTTACGCTGGCAGACAGGAGGATCCCCACTCCACGAGACACCTGTGCCAGAGACCTCACAAATTCTCTGGGAGCCTCCCACCAGCTTGTACCTGGACCACACAGAAGGATTCATTAATTTAACAGTGAGGTTAAATTGGGATTTCTTTACAACCCTTGCAAGTGGCAGGCAAGAGTTCTGACTCGGGAACTGGGTTGTGTAAAGATGAAAATCCACTTCCCTCTCAGCAGGGCAAGACTCACCCTTTGTCACAAGTGTAATTAATTCTGGAGCCGAGGAGGAGATCTGTGAGCACAGCAGCTCTGCCATTCTCTGGGTCCCCTGGGCTGGGACACTGCTGCCCTGGAAGGGAGCACAGCCTCCTCAGCCACCACAGAGAGCAGGCAGAGAAACCCACAGAGCTGGGCAAACACGGAAAACCAGCCAAGCCTCACACTTCAGCTTCCCAGCCCTTGCAGGACGTACTTTGACAGAACTGCAGCGCTGCAGACCACGTCTGGTTCCTGAGGCAGGTGATGGCTGGCGAGACCCCCGGGAGCTGGGTGTAGCCAGGCTGGCACACGAATTCCACCCTGCTCCCCTCGGGAAACACCTCCTGCTGCCTGTAGCGCTCCTTCAGCTCGGCAAACTCCAGCCTGGCAGGGGCTCTGCAGCCAGCTGCTGGGAGACAGAGCCAGCCCGGCTGTTAAAGAGCCAGGAAAGGTGGATTTGGGAGAGCAGGGGAAGGTTAACGCCCTGCTGGGACACTTGCCCGGCTCGCAGACCGGCACAGGCGGCTCCCAGGTGTTGTTTGGTTGGCACTGGAGCTCTCTGTGGCCACGAATGGCATAGCCTGGGTCACATTCAAATGTCACCGTGTCCCTGTGTGCGTAGGCAGACCTGGGAGCCACGATCCTCCCATTCTGGATCCGTGGGACTGGACAACTCGCCACTGGAAAAGAAAAGAGGTGCGGGTGCTCCAAACTGGCCCTCAGGCAGAGCTGTGCGGCTGTGAAACCACCAAGAGCTGCAATTTTAAGATGCAAGCCTGAAAATAATTTTCCAGAGATGATGTTGTGCCCTCATCCTGCGATATCAAACTGGGATATCAAACTGCGATATCAAACTGGGATATCAAACGGGGATATCAGACTGGGATATCAAACGGGGATATCAAACTGGAATATCAAACTGGGATATCAAACGGGGATATCAAACTGGGATATCAAACTGGGATATCAAACTGGGATATCAAACGGGGATATCAAACTGGGATATCAAACTGGGATATCAAACTGGGATATCAAACTGCGATATCAAACATCTCCAAGGGGAAAGGGGATCCTGGGGCAGTGGGGTGACCCTCCAGCCTCCCCCACTCTGCCTGGCCTCAACCCTTGAAAATACTGGGGCAAGAGTTCCAGCTGGCCGGAGTTTCCCAGTCATTCCCAGCGGGGAGCAGCAGCTCTGGGAGGATTTCTGGGGGATTTTTGGGGGTCCCTGCAGCTCGGGCAGCCCAGCCCCACCTCCGCAGGCCGGCAGGGGCTCGCTCCACACGCCGCTGCTGCCGTCGCGGGTGGTGCAGTGGATGGAGGGCTCCCCGTGCAGAGGGAAGCCGGGGTCACAGCTGTAGGTCACCGAGGTGCCGTAGTGGAACTCGCTCAGCAGCCGGCCCGAGTGCTTCCCGTTGGGGATGTCCGGGGGTGGCTCACAAGGGATGCCTGCAGAGGGGCACAACGAGGATTCTCAGTTCAACAGCAGCACCTGAAATCCCTCAGTCTGTGGGGCACAAAAGCTGGTTCTAAAGATGGAAATCCTTGTTGGCAAGTGGAAAGCGGGGCAGTAATCAAAGCTCTGAGGAGGAAACACCTGCATGCTTTGCATTTCCTGCTTCTTAAGAAATAAGGAATCAAATGCTTATTTTGTGTCGCTGGTGTAAAATCCTGGTGCCAAGACGTGCAACAGGCACAGTCTGTGTGTCACCTGTGTGTCACACCTAGGAGAGTCTGGGAAATGCTTTAAAACCCCAGAATGTACCAGCAAATGCTTCTCTCTCCGTGTGAAGCTGTCCCCTGATCAGCCACACTACTTGATCAGCAGAGAAAGTGGCAGTCTCTGCTGGGAAACATTTCCCAGATCCGTGCAAACCCTCAGAGTTGTGAGCTACTCACGCTGGCAGAGGGGAACGTCACCGCTCCATGCAACGCGTGCCCCAGAGATCTGACAGCGTCTGCTGGACTGTCCAATCAACCTGTGCCTGGTGGTGGAAGGATTGGTCATTCACCCCAAGCCTCTGCAGCTGCAGCTGCTGCTCCTCCCCAGCCCTGGGATGTGGGACCAGCCCTGCTGGCAGCAGAGCTGTGGCCCTGCAGGGAGGTTCCTTCCTGGCTCTTCCCCACCCATTTCCCGGTATTTATAGGCTGTATCTCTATAAATACAGATATACTTTAGTGTTTAGGCACAACAGTGAGCACCTCGTGCTCTGTAGAGAGCCCTGCACTGGGGCTTCTCTGCAGAATCCATTTGCTGGGAGTGAGTGAACAGGGGTTCAGATTAGTTCACTCACCTAATCCATCTCCAAAGCAGGACTTACCCCTCCTCACAGCCGTAAACCACTGTAGACCCAATCTGGAGATCTGTCAGGGAAATAATCTTGCCATTCACAGGCTCACCAGGGTGTCTGCACTGTATCCCTGGGAAAGGAAAACAACCTTATTTTAGGCTCCTGTCTCTCTTCACCACAGTACGAAATATGCAATTACTCCTCCAGTCCCCTGCCCGCATTCCCAGTTCCCCCAACACTGGTTTCCAACATCAGAGAGTTACATGGCTTTACTAGTCACACGTTCAGAATAACATCAAGGTTTTGGCAGCACGGACAGAGCCTGGGACCTGTTCCTCCTGCACCAACAGACACCAAATCAAGGATCTATTCACTTTTACAGAACTCTAGTGCTTCTGACCACACTCCGCTCTCAAGGCATGTAACAGTAGGTGACATTCCTGGGACTTTAGCATATCCAGGGCGGCAAGTGTATTGCACAGTCTTCCCAACAGAAAAATCAATGGCATTTCTATGCTCCTCATTTAGCTCAGCGAACTGAAACCTTGTGGGAGCACCACAAGAACCTATTGAGAGAGAAAAGAGACATGAGAACCGGGCAGGACCGGCACATCGGGGGCAAGCACACAAAGGGCACTGCTAGGAGGAAAGGGGTCAGGGTTGCCTTGCAAAAATGTTTATTTTGATTAATGTAAATAAAGAAATCAATAAAAATTAATTAATTAAATTAATTAATATAATTATTAATTAAATATTAATTATTAAATTACATTATTAAATTATTAATTATATTATGTTATATTATATTATACATAATTATATTATATATTATAATATTATATATTATATATATAAGCATAATATATAATATAATATATATAATATAAAATATATATAATATATATTATATATAATTATTATATTATATATAATTATAGTAATTATATTTATTATATTAAATTATAATTATTAATTATTAAATTAAATATTAATTAAATTAATTATTAAATAAATAAATAGATAAATAAATAAATAAAAATTAATAAATTCCCAAAGGGTTGCAGAGGATTAGGTTCGTATTTCTTAGACCTTCCCCTCAAAGGGGTTAACAACATTTTTGAAACAGGATTAGGGGACATGAAATATCAGCATAGCCCGAGGTTGTTGTGTACCTGGAGACCTGAAGGTGTCCTGGTGAGGCAGTGCTGTGTCACACGCAGGAGCAGGGGGCTGCCAGCTGCCATCCTGCTGGCAGGACACGCTGGCACTGCCCCGCAGCCTGTAACCATCGTGGCACTCGAATGTCACCGTTTGCCCGGGCGCAGAGAGGAGTCCGTGGCCAGCAATTTGCCTTCCGTTGGCTACGATTGGAGTGATGCAGACGGTCCCTGGAAATGAGGGTGGGCAGGAGGAGCAAAGGAAAGCACAAATCCACAGGCTGTTGATGTCACAACAACAAAATCAGCGTGATCTCCACACAAACCTCCCCAGCCGCAGGAAGGCTTGACGTTAATCGATTCCCTGATACATTTTACATGGAATTAACCCTTCTGGAGGATCTGTTTGCACTGGGGACGGTGTCCCCTGTGCCCAGAGTCACTCTGTGCTTGTCCCCGAGGGGACCGAGCCCGGACCCACCTTCACAGCGAGGGCTGGGCTGGCTCCAGTTCCCCGATGCTCTGCAAGACACAGCGGCATTTCCCACCAGGTAATAGCCGGGATGGCAGCTGTACCTCACAGACATGCCAGCCGTGAAAAACGCTTTGTCCTGCGCGTTGTGCTTTCCATTGGCGACCTCCGGAGGCATCGGGCACGGCCGGACTGCGAGATGGGGATGGGAAATTTAACCCAGCGACAGAGCAGGGAACGAGGGCTCGGCAGGCGGAGCGATGCTGCTCTGCTGGGTTCAATCCCTGCCTGAGCCCCCGTTGGTGCTGCAGCCCCTGCTCCTGCTGCAGCCGCACTCACCCCTCTGGCAGCCAAGGAGCGGCGGGTCCCAGGTGCCCCCGGGCTGGCACCGAGCCTCGGCCGTGCCCTCTGAGCTGTATCCAGCATCGCAGTCGAACAGCAGGGTCTCTCCAGCTCTGTAGGTGCTCTGGGGGTTGTAGACGTTCCCGTTCTGCACCTCGGGGACCTGGCAGCCGATCGCTGTGGGGACAGAGCCCTTTTAGTGTCGCTGCGTGAGCTGCAGCCCGCACACACAGAGCCCCTCGTGCCGCCGCTGCCCTGAGCCCGCTGCTCTGAGCGCACGGGACAGCCGGCAGCGAGGCACCCGCACACCTTCACAGCGGGGCAGGGGCCGGCTCCAGAGCCCGGAGTCCGTGCAGGTGATGGAGGCGTTCCCGAGCAGCTGAAAGCCCTCGCTGCAGCTGTAGGACACGGTCACCCCCCGGGGAAAGCTGGCCCAGGAGTGTCCGCTGTGCAGCCCATTGGCGATGCTCGGTGGCCGAGGACAGCTCAGCTCTGCGGAGGGAAGGGAACAGCCTGTGGCTCTGCTCTTTGCTGCTTTGTGTGCCAGGGTGATATCCTGGATTCTGCCCTGTGTGCCATTTGCTGGATCGAGGCTTTAATTCACTAAAAGTGCAGCTGCACCTGCCAGAAATTGCCCGGACAGGACTGCGGGTGCATCACAGAATTTGGCAGGGAGCCGCAGTGACATGGAAGCAGTGAATTATTATGATTACTTCCATTCCACAGCGAAGGTGAAATGCCCCACGTCTGCCCAGAGAGTCAGAACTCCCCCCGGGATTCAGATCCTGCCGTCTCACGGGGTTCACTTCTCCCCATCCCTCTCGCAGCCCCAGCCAGGGCACAGACATCCATCCATCCATCCATCCATCCATCCATCCATCATCCATCCATCCATCCATCCATCCAT